ATTGGTTTAGAAACCAACAAAACTTTGAAAACCATCTCTACATTTCAAATTATAAAAACCTCCGCCATGTCATTGAAGGCTTATGTGGTGTTTGCCAGCACGGGACTCTTAATCAATGTTGGATACAACAAAAAGCCTATACTGAAAATAGGTTTTTAGTTTCTCTTATTCCCTCTATCTCTTGATCTCCCTCAATCTATCATTCTCTCTCAGTCTTTTTCCCCCTCCCTCTTTCGTTCTTTTTTTATTTTCCTTATACAATATTAATAAGTCCGTATAAAAGAACTAAAGGGACCAACCACATGTACAATCAAGTTATAAATTTTTATTAAGTTGGTGTAAATTTCATAGCCAAGAGTTTCTTATGAATTTTTATCAAATTGGTGTAATAATTTTTGAACCATACCAAATTGGTCTCATGTTCTTTTATACGATCTGATTAATACCATATAACTATGTACGAAAAATGAAAGAAAAAGAATGAGAGAGGGAGCAAGAGAGAAAGAGAATGAGAGAGATTGAGGGAAAACGATAGGTAGAGAGATAATAAGAGAAATTGATAGAAAGAACGTAAACATAGAAATCAAAAAAACATTTTTATTTATTTTTAAATCACAGTCATTGAGCAAAGAGAGATGACTTTGAGAATGTGTGTGTGTGTGTGTGTGAGAGAGAGAGAGAGAGAGAGCATAAGATAAACTAAAAACCTTTTTTTTTTAAATTTTCCAATCACCCAACATTAAAAGGCAATTTCATTATAAGCTTTTTGTTCTGTCCAACATTGATTAAGTCCCATGTTGGCAACAACCACATAAGCTTTTGATGACATGGCCGGGGTTTTTATAATTTGAAATGTAGAGCCAATTGTTAGAGTTTTGTTGGTTTTTGGACTAACCTATAGCCTAATTTTAAATGTACAACCGACTCTGACTATAATTTAGATGGTGGGTCAATGATCCAACTTTTCAAAGAAACCCATGATGTCATAATTGAATATTAAATATTTTAAAAAAGATAGTACACCAAAAATGAAAATTTACAGAATTTTGTCAAAAACATTTGAGAACATTTCTAATGTTGTATATTCATCATACTAAATAAAAATAATTGTTAAAATAAAAGTTATTTTTTTATGACAGAAATGGAATACAAAATTTAATAATAATAATAATAATAATAATTTTTATTTGCTACTAGCATTTAAGTTTATTTTTAATCATATTGTTACTTTTGTTAATTTTCAATTTATTTCTTAACTATGATATATGTAAAATTCAAGTAATTAATATGAAGAAAAATTTATCACGTGCAATGCATGCGCTTAATTACTAGTATATATATGTATGTACATGTATAGATATGTATGTATGTATGTATGTATGTATGTATGTATGTACTTATAATAAAACAATACATGTCATGTCAACATGGCTCTCCTTCCTCCCTTACCACTTATCTATTTTCTGTTTTTTTTTTCAACTTTTATTTTTAAAATTGGACAAGATTACTCAAGAATCACTCAATTTTAAGTTTTTAAGACTTTCATCTCTCCTCATTAACTCACCATAACTCTCTCTTCTCTTTCTCATTAATTCCTTTGGTCTCTAATCATTCCATTAACTTCTCTCCTAATAAGTCACTCCATTAATACTCTCTTATCTCAATTGCTCCAATAAACTTCTTAAAATTTATTTACTCATTTTATTTTTTATTTTTCTTTTTCATTTTATTCTCTATCATCTCCTCATTAATCTAATAAACCAAAAGCAATTTTCTTAGGGGGTGATCATTTTAGTCTGGTCTAGGCCTGGGTCTACTTCAGGCCCACAAATATCAAGGCCGGTGTGGGCCCAACTCAACCAATAAGCAAATAATAGTTTAAAAATTAGTTAATAAAAATATCATAAAGAGTTAAAATCACCTAAAAATAACGAGAAAGAGAATTCTAAGACAGAGGTCCCACCCCTTCCATCATTAACCTATTTTAGCATATTTCTATAGGCCTTTTCCATTATTAGCCAATTCTAATAATGAAGATGGGTTCTTTGTCAGGGAACCTCAATCCCCGATCTCCATTCCCATCCTTGGTTGGGTATCACAATCAATCCCTGTCCTTGCCAAGGGAACCTTCATCGTTGACCCCACTAGGTCATGGAAGTTGAGTACCAGATGGGACGAGGAACATTGCCATCCCTATTCATATTCAAATCCTATTAGTTGGTTAATTGTTAGAAAACTATAATTTAAAATCTAATAACAAAAATTAATAAAAATATTAAAATTTAGCAAGCTTTTATTTAGTAACTATTAAAAATTAAGAAATTAAAAAAAATTAGTAGTTCATAAATTGAAAATTAAAATACATTTGAATTTTATTTAAAAAATAACTCATATTAACAGGATAGTTAAAGTAATAATATAAAGTAAAAAAACATTAGAAGTAATAAAATAAACTACTTGCATCCATATAAAAATTATATAAATTAATTAAAATAATGAAACTAATGATGGCCTAATTATAAATGTCATAAGACTTCTACTTAGGGATGATCATTTATAACTTAGCCCAAACTCAATTAGACCTACAAATTTTCAAGCTCAAGCAATTATTTTCTTCTAAGATAGGTGTAGCTTAGATCTACACCAACCCACACATAATGTGAACAATAGGGCTGTAAATAGATTGTATTCAAATTAGATTCAATTGCATGCACATTTGATTATTATGTTGGGTTTTAGATCACCTTTAGGTTTAATCCGCAACCATTTTATTGTGTTTAAAATGACCAAAAGGTTAAAAAGTTTTAAAGAAAGACAATTATTTTTAAAGTATATATTTATAAAAAAAAATGTATATAAATATAAAATATTAAACTTATCAATTATAAACTTTATAATGCTAAACTATAAAGTTTATAATTGATAAATTATGCTACATATATACATAAAATAATAATTTTTTATTGGACCTAGATTTTGGTTGGATTGGACAGAGTTAAATTCACATCCAAATGCAAGATAATTGGATTTGTATATGTATTTAGATAACAAATTTTATATTAATATATAGATAGAAATTTTTATAATAACCTAAAATAAATAAAAGTTTTAATTTATAAAAAAATCATAGTTTTACAATTAATACGAACAAGCTTGTCCTGTCCCAAGCCCGAATAAATATTATTATGCTTGGGGTGTGGGTCGGCTTGGGCTAGGCGACCTATAAAATTGTTAATACACCATCCAAACCCAGCTTTTATGTTTTTGGTTCATGAGGCTACACAATGGGGGTAGCTTGTCTCCCATATTTCCTTTGGGTTCAGCATTAATAATTCTTATCTAAAACTAGTTAAAAACCTAAAATAATGCATGTATGGGTTGTGTTCATTGCTCTGTTTGGTTTAGTCTTATTATGAATGTCACATTGCTCTTAGGGTGCAATTTAGGGGGTTGGGTTAGGTTGAGGATCAATCAAAGCCAAACCTAAGGTAGATTGGGCTTAGATTAATTTAATTATGATTACAACCTAACTTTATATATTTAGTAATATTTAAGTATTTTAAATATTTAAGTAACATTTGCAAAAAATTATAACATTTAATCATTAATAAAGTAAAATAGAACACTAATGGATAATATAGAAAAATAATTATTTTATTAAGTAATTAGTAGTGATTTATTATTTTTTGAATATAATTAATCCAAATTTCTAAATTATTTTTGTAACAAATTATTAAAATAAAGATTAATTATTTAAAACAACATTGCAGTTGTAACAATATAAAGATTAATTTTTAGTTAATTATTAACTAAATAACTATATAATTGTTTTAAATTAAGTAAAATTGTAGATTAGTACCCTGTATTTTGGGCCTAGTCTTGGTTTAGTCCCCGAACTTCAAAATGTGCTAATCTAATACCTAAACTTCCAAAATGTTCCAACTTAGTTCCTATTGTTAACTAGTCGTTAGTTATATATATGTATCATGTGACATCATGTGCGGCTTAAGACTTTTAAAAATATCAAAATTACCCTTCAAAATAAAACATTTTTCATCATCTTCTTCTTTGAGAAGATGAAACAGAGGTGTAAGTTTTGGTTATTGAGTTTTGCAAGTGAATGGTTCACAACCATTAAAGCTAGGCGTGGGAGTGGGAGGAGTTGAGAAATAGAGAAGAGAGAAGAGAGAAGAGAGGTGGTTCAGCATTTAGATGATCGATAAATAAAATTAGATGATACCCGGACATTTGTGTCTTTTTATGTGCCACTTAACGACTGATTAATGAAAGGTGCTAAATTGACATGTTTTAGAAGTTTAAATAATGGATTGACATGTTTTAAAACTCAGGGACCAAATAAGACTAAGCCCAAAGTACAGGATACTAATATGAAAATTTCATAATAGTTATCAATTTTCGTTGTTTTACTTTTTCTTGATAAATCCGGTGCACTATGCACAGGTCCCTGCTAGTTGTAATAATTAGAGGTGTAAAACGCAAAGTACAGGCCATGCCGCCCTCCCCTGGGATAACTTGTGGTCGGCCCAGCATGGCCGACAGCCCAGGCCTGTGTGGGCCCATGGGCTGAGCCTTGGGCCAAGTCAGGTCGTGCATCGGGCCAAAGCTATTTATTTAAAAAAAGTGACAAAAAATTTAAAATATTAATTTTCTATGAATTTTGATATATACAATTGCTTATATATACAATAATGAAATAAATTATTATAATAAAATTAAAAAAAATATTTATTTTATTAATATATTATAATTTAAATAATATAATATATATTAATATTATATGGCCTGCAAGATCGTGCTGGGCTGGTCCCGATTTACACCTTTAATAACAATATAGAAAACGTCATGGTCAAGGCCCGATTGGCTTGCATTACCACTCGGCCTTCCTTTGGAAAAGTCAAGTCAAAGAGTTTCCGCCTTGTCTGTCGCTTACAAATTCTTCTCTCTTTCCAAGCCAATATATATTTTATTTGATTTTGTGATACCAATCATTCACCTGTCTTCCATTGCCTCCTCCTCCTGCTCCTCGATCTTTCTCTCTTACCCCCTTGCGGTCGCAGGAAGTGGAGATGGAAGGGCCACCGACTCCGGCCATAAAACCGAGATTAGGCCAGTCGTCGTCATCCTTCCGTCTCCGGAGCCCAAGCCTCAATAGTCTTCGGCTCCGTCGAATATTTGACTTATTCGATAAGAATGGCGATGGCTTGATCACAGTCGAAGAACTGTGCCAAGCTTTGGATCTGCTGGGCCTGGAGGCAGATATGTCCGAGTTGGAGTCCATTGTACAATGCTACATAAAACCGGGCAACAACGGACTCGAATACAACGACTTCGAAGCGTTGCATCAATCGTTGGGTGACATGTATTTTGGTGTCAACGTAGGCGGGGAAGAAGGGCGCGAAGGAGAAGAGGAGAGGGCTGCAAGTGGTGCAACAACTACAACAACGGCGAGGGAATTGCAAGAGGAGGCAGACTTGACGGAGGCGTTTAAGGTGTTCGATGTGGATGGAGATGGGTTCATATCGGCGATGGAATTGCAAGTGGTTCTTGCCAAGCTAGGATTTTCAGAAGGAAGTGAGATTGGTAGAGTTGAGCAAATGATCTTCTCCGTTGACCGGAATCAGGATGGACGTGTTGACTTCTACGAATTCAAGGATATGATGCAAAATGTTTTGGTTCGAACCTCTTGACCTTTCTCTTGCTGTTGCTTTTTTCCTTTATTTTTTTTTTATTTTAGTTTTCTTTTCTTTTCTTTTCTTTTCATCTTCCTTCTCTTTTCTCTCGCTCAGACAGTCAGGATCGCTGTATTTTCTTTTGTAATGACTTCATGTCCTGGTTGGACATGAATGTTCGTTTTCTGTTTTCCCTTCCCCATCTGTATTTCATCGATGTTCTTTTGTTTTTCCCCTTTTCATCGATGTTCATTTCTTTCTTTTCTTCTTTGTTTCTGTTTTTCCTTCCCCATCTGTATTTCATTGATGTTCTGGCAACTCGAATAAATTGATCAGTCAATAGATGCAAATATAGCAATAAGATTGCACGGATGTTAGATTGCTAACGTGTGTATGTTTGTTGAGTGCTGAAAGAAAGTGGTGTTTACTGGGTGCCGCCATCTAACCAAGTATCTAGAGGTGTCAATTGGACTGGATTTGGTCCAACCCGATACAATCCAATGTGAGTCCACTTATAAATGGACTACTGGACCCAATCTAGTACAAATTCAATACAAACCAAATCCAATCCTCCAATCCAAACCGAATGAAATATAAAAAATTATATAAAGGCACTTTTGGCATTGAAAAATCACTTTTGTAAAAGTACTTTGATTAAAGTATTTTTATAAAAGTGCTTTTAGAAAAACACTTTATTGAAAGTACTTCATAAAAGCACTTTAGAAAAGAACTTTCATAGTCTTTTATAAATGTATTTTTGTAGTTCTTTTGTAAAAGTACTTTTACAAAAGTACTTTCATATAAGTGCTTTATAAAAGTACCTCCATAAAAGTGCTTTCGTAAAAGTGCTTTTGTAAAAATGCTTTTGTAATTGTAAAAGTGCTTTCATAAAAGTGCTTTTATAAAAGTGCTTCCATAAAAGTGCTTACATAAAAGTACTCCTATAAAAGTGATTTCGTAAAAGTACTTTTATAAAAGTACTTCCATAAAAGTTTTTTTTTTTTTTTTTTTTGTAAAAGTAATTCCATAAAAGTGTGTAAAGGTACTTTTATAAAAGTGCTTTCATAAAAGTATTTTTGTAAAAGTGCTTTTATAAAACTACTATAAAAGTGCTTTCATAAAAGTATTTTTGTAAAAGTGCTTTTATAAAACTACTTCTATAAAAGTGCTTTCATAAAAGTACTTTTGTAAAAATGCTTTCGTAAAAGTATTTTTACAAGTGTTTTCATAAAAGTGCTTTCGTAAAAGTACTTTCATAAAAGTGATTTTATGCTGGTTTTAGTTTTGATTGATTTCAATTGAACAAGGGTTTGGCCTTATGATTGGATTTTTAGAAATTTGGTTTAGGCTCAATTCAAAGCAATAAGAATAAGGACCAATTTATTTAAGATTGGTCCAATCCAATAATTATAATGGATCATCCAAATCTGATTTGATAAGGTTTGCATCGGATTGGATTCAAACCAAAACCATTCGATTGACATCCTTACAAGTATCAATTGGCTTCCATTTACAATTTTACACTCTGCGATAATATATCATAAGTGGTGAATGTGTCTTAGGCCTTGTTTTTCAGCTCTTGGGTAACATGCTTATTTGAGCAAGTCCAGATCTCCTACCAACACAAACTCTGCCCACGTCTACCCACATAGCATTGCAGCTACACATGGAGAACATCTCATCCTCCTACATAGTATTATATAGGGGGAGATGTTCCCAATTAATGGGGGTAGTGTGTTGTGGGTAGATGTGGGTAGAGTTCTCATGGGCAGGAGATCTAGAGACTATTCATGCAAAAATTGCCTGATTAACTTCGGTGACAACATTCTTACGCATGGTCACTTGGTAAGCAACTAATCCACCCTCTAGCAGGGCAATCTTTGGAAATTTCACTTACCATGGGACCCATTATAGCAGCATCATAACATAGGTAAGTTAGTAAATTATCTAATTTACCAACTTGCCCCCTATGAGATACTAGTAAATAGGGGTGGATTCGAGTCGAGTCGAGCCGAATAGTATGAGGCTGAGGCTCGAGCTCGGCTCAAGACTATTCTACAAGGTTCGAGCTCGGCTTGAGACTATTCTACAAGGCTCGAGCTCGATTCGAGCTAGAACCATGAGCTTGAGCTTGGCTTGAGTAAAAAATTCATAAGCTCGAGCTCAATTTTGAGAAAAACATATTTAATAAAAATAAAAAAATTATATATAAAAATATTTTTTATTTGATATTTAAAAAATTAAGAATTATAATAATTAAGAATTATAATATTTTTATTATATATATATCGAGGCGGCTTGCGAGCCTCACGAGCCAAGCTCTAGTAGGCTCGAGTTCGGCTCATTTTATAATTGAGTTAGTGAATTGGGCTCGAGCTCAAGCAGCTCGTGAAAAGCTCGACTCGTTGCCACCCCTACTAGCAAACAAACGGGCCTTAGTGTTCATTTTTTATTGGAAAACCAGAGGAGCTACACAAGCCGGGGGGGGGGGGGTAGCTCTTCCCTAGAAATCAGATAAGCAAATGAAACTAAGATCACAAGAACAAAAATCAGAAAGGTTTCGATGAATAGAAACCGCTTGATGAGCCAACCAATTAGCTGCTTGATTCGCCTCATGATACACATGCCTGAATTTGATGATTAAGTTGAACATGGTAGAGAGATTTAGGCACTCCATGGGGGTTTCACTTTTCCTTTGAGGCAGTCGATAACAAGCTTTGAGTCTCCTTCAATGATAATCTGATGGTCCCTATAGTTGATCATGAGGTTGATGGCCTCCCAAGCAGCCCATGCTTTAACAAGATTTATCATAGAACACCCAACATTCATAGCCTTAATTTCAAGAACATTACCCTCATGGTTCAGCAATGTTAGACAGTGTATGACCTTAGCTCCAATCAGAATGATGTACATTATGACATTTAATGTAAATGAATAAAGTACATATTTGATTCATGTTATGATGGTGTGTTTCTGTGTAATACTCTTAAACTAGACACATATGAGATTCGTATTAGTTTAGAATATCCACAGTCGTTGGATAGATTTGGGAAGATTTTTATCCTGCTAAGGTTGACATTGATGTGCCGCAAAGTTGGATGGGGTGACTTGTCTCAACTGCCAGGGTGATACCTGAGGTACATGTAGTGGATTAGAAATCCAGTATTACCCTGGACCTTGGAGTTAGATGGGCAAAACTGGAATGTTACACCTGACCCCTAAACTCAATTATGATACTACACAAGGGTTTAGGGTTTAGGGTTTAGGGTCTAGGGTCTAGGGTCTAGGGTCTAGGGTCTAGGGTCTAGGGTTTTAGGGTTTTAGGGTTTAGGGTTTAGGGTTTAGGGTTTAGGGTTTAGGGTTTAGGGTTTTAAGGTTTTAGGGTTTAGGGTTTAGGGTTTAGGGTTTTATGGTTTTATGGTTTAGGGTTTAGGGTTTAGGGTTTTAGGGTTTAGGGATTAGGGTTTAGCGTTTAGGGTTTTAGGGTTTTAGGGTTTTAGGGTTTTAGGGTTTAGGGTTTAGGGTTTAGGGTTTAGGGTTTAGGGTTTAGGGTTTTAGGGTTTAGGGTTTAAGTTTTTAGGGTTTAGGGTTTAGGGTTTAGGGATTTAGGGTTTTAGGGTTTAGGGTTTACGGTTTTAGGGTTTAGGGTTTAGGGTTTTAGGGTTTAGGGTTTAGGGTTTAGGGTTTAGGGTTTTAGTGTTTTAGGGTTTTAGGGTTTAGGGTTTAGGGTTTTAGGGTTTTAGGGTTTTAGGGTTTAGGGTTTAGGGTTTAGGGTTAGGGGTTTAGGGTTAGGGGTTTAGGGTTTAGGATTTCGGGTTTAGGGTTTCGGGGTTTATGGTTTAGGGTTTAGGGTTGAGGGTTTAGGGTTTAGGGTTTAGCGTTTTAGGGTTTAGGGTTTTAGGGTTTTAGGGTTTAGGGTTTAGGGTTTAGGGTTTGGGGTTTAGGGTTTAGGGTTTAGGGTTTTAGGGTTTTTGGGTTTTTGGGTTTAGGGTTTAGGGTTTTAGGTTTTAGGTTTTAGGTTTAGGGTTTAGGGTTTAGGGTTTAGGGGTTAGGGTTTAGGGTTTAGGGGTTAGGGGTTAGGGTTTAGGGTTTAGGGTTTAGGGGTTTAGGGTTTAGGGTTTAGGGTTTAGGGTTTAGGGTTTAGGGTTTAGGGTTTAGGGTTTAGGGTTTAGGGTTTAGGGTTTAGGGTTT